ACTGGTATGGAAGATAAAGACCCTCATGGTTTGCTCCCTAAAGGATTCCTTTATAGTTTTGTGTTGAAATAGTATACACCTAGCAGCAGTATGGGCCAGGAGTGTGGAGGAAAGAGGAGCCTGGCCTCGGAAAAGTAGGAAAAATTCCTAGATACGTTTTCCAACAAAAAAAAAAGCCCCTGTGAACACGAAGAAGGGACAGAAGAGCTCAGTGCAGTAATTAAACTCTGCATCAGCTGTCAGCCTGCTGCACGTACATAAGAGATGTGCTCTTAGAGAGCTTCTCTGCAGTTCCTCCCAGCTGGGGCAGGATCTGCTGATCGCCACGAGCTCTTCCCACCCAGGGCTGCCCTTTGGGACTTGGGCTGCTCCAGCAGTTCTGGAAACATCTCAGCATTGCTGCAGCAATTGGTGCATTTCACTCTTAGCTATCCTTTGCCAACAGATCTAAATGGCCTGGAAGTGGCTGTGCCTGAGCACTGCCTGGCTTTGGCTAACCATGCCTCACTGCCCAGCCCAGGACTGCCTGGATCCAGACAGGATTTGTGCTGGGAACCCAGGCAGATGTAAGTGGGCATGGAGGTGACTTCAGGAAGACAGAGCTGCTGTCCCACATTGGGCTGGAGCTGCTTGCACTGCAATTCATCTTGTTTTCAGTTGTCTCACAAGGACGGATCCCCTTGTAGCACTGTAGTGTTTATTTTACAATTCCCAAAGCTGTGATAGATTTTTGAGGGGAGGCGTGTCTAATCTAGGAAAATTTACCAGCTAAATTGTAGTGGGTACTCTTTAGGCAGTTTAAAAATGGGCAGAAAAGAACCATTCCTCTGGTTTCTGATGGCTTGCCTATTACTGTTGACATGAAAACAAAAAACCCAACTATCTCATAACATTGCATGTTCATAAATCAATTTTTTGTACAATTCTAATCTGTAAGTTTGCCGTTATTGATACTGTAGTAAGAGAAGAGCTCTGATACTCCATAAAGCTTTATTCCAAACCAAGACAGATCATTCCCAACCTGGTCTACTTTAAAAAGCAGACTGGTGTTGCATGTGTGGGCTCCTGGAAAGACCTGTTTGTCCTTGATTTGCACCTAAGTGGTCCTGCGATGGTGCTGAGGGGGTGCTGAGCGGTGCTGAGATGGTGCTGAGCAGATACTGAGATGGTGCTGAGGGGGTCCTGAGATGGCGCTGGGATGGTGCTGAGGGGGTGCTGAGATGGTGCTGAGGTGGTGCTGAGATGGTGTTGAGGTGGTGCTGAGGTGGTGCTGAGATGGTGTTGAGGGGGTCCTGAGATGGCGCTGAGATGGTGCTGAGGGGGTGCTGAGGTGGTGCTGAGATGGCGCTGAGATGGTGCTGAGGGGGTGCTGAGGGGGTCCTGAGATGGCGCTGAGGGGGTGCTGAGGTGGTGCTGAGCAGATACTGAGATGGTGCTGAGCAGATACTGAGATGGTGCTGAGGGGGTCCTGAGATGGCGCTGAGATGGTGCTGAGGTGGTGCTGAGGGGGTCCTGAGATGGCGCTGAGGGGGTGCTGAGTGGTGCTGAGCAGATACTGAGATGGCGCTGAGATGGTGCTGAGGGGGTGCTGAGTGGTGCTGAGCAGATACTGAGATGGCGCTGAGATGGTGCTGAGATGGTGCTGAGATGGCGCTGAGGTGGTGCTGACATGGCACTGAGGGGGTCCTGAGATGGTGCTGAGATGGTGTTGAGGTGGTGCTGAGATGGTGCTGAGGTGGTGCTGAGGGGGTCATGAGATGGTGCTGAGGGGTTGCTGAGGTGGTGCTGAGCAGATACTGAGATGGTGCTGAGGTGGTGCTGACATGGCGCTGAGGGGGTCCTGAGATGGTGCTGAGATGGTGTTGAGGTGGTGCTGAGGGGGTGCTGAGATGGTGCTGAGGTGGTGCTGAGGGGGTCATGAGATGGTGCTGAGATGGTGCTGAGATGGTGCTGAGATGGTGCTGAGGTGGTGCTGAGGGGGTGCTGAGATGGTGCTGAGGGGGTGCTGAGGTGGTGCTGAGGGGGTCCTGAGATGGTGCTGAGGTGGTGCTGACATGGCGCTGAGGGGGTCCTGAGATGGTGCTGAGGGGGTGCTGAGGTGGTGCTGAGCAGATACTGAGATGGTGCTGAGGGGGTCCTGAGATGGCGCTGAGATGGTGCTGAGGGGGTGCTGAGATGGTGCTGAGGTGGTGCTGAGATGGTGTTGAGGTGGTGCTGAGGGGGTGCTGAGATGGTGCTGAGCAGATACTGAGGGGGTCATGAGATGGTGCTGAGGGGGTGCTGAGGTGGTGCTGAGATGGTGCTGAGGGGGTGCTGAGATGGTGCTGAGGTGGTGCTGAGATGGTGTTGAGGTGGTGCTGAGGGGGTGCTGAGATGGTGCTGAGGGGGTGCTGAGGTGGTGCTGAGATGGCGCTGAGGTGGTGCTGAGGGGGTCCTGAGATGGTGCTGAGGTGGTGCTGAGATGGTGCTGAGGTGGTGCTGAGGTGGTGCTGAGATGGTGCTGAGGGGGTCATGAGATGGTGCTGAGATGGTGCTGAGTGGTGCTGAGCAGATACTGAGATGGCGCTGAGATGGTGCTGAGATGGTGCTGAGGGGGTCCTGAGATGGTGCTGAGGTGGTGCTGACATGGCGCTGAGGGGGTCCTGAGTGGTGCTGAGCAGATACTGAGATGGCGCTGAGATGGTGTTGAGGTGGTGCTGAGGGGGTGCTGAGATGGTGCTGAGGGGGTGCTGAGGTGGTGCTGAGATGGTGCTGAGGGGGTCATGAGATGGTGCTGAGATGGTGCTGAGTGGTGCTGAGCAGATACTGAGATGGCGCTGAGATGGTGCTGAGATGGCGCTGAGGGGGTCCTGAGATGGTGCTGAGGGGGTGCTGAGGGGGTCCTGAGATGGCGCTGAGGGGGTCCTGAGATGGTGCTGAGGGGGTGCTGAGGTGGTGCTGAGCAGATACTGAGATGGTGCTGAGGGGGTCCTGAGATGGCGCTGAGATGGTGCTGAGGGGGTGCTGAGATGGTGCTGAGGTGGTGCTGAGATGGTGTTGAGGTGGTGCTGAGGGGGTGCTGAGATGGTGCTGAGGTGGTGCTGAGGTGGTGCTGAGATGGTGTTGAGGTGGTGCTGAGGGGGTGCTGAGATGGTGCTGAGGGGGTGCTGAGGTGGTGCTGAGATGGCGCTGAGATGGTGCTGAGGGGGTGCTGAGGGGGTGCTGAGGTGGTGCTGAGGTGGTGCTGACATGGCGCTGAGGGGGTCCTGAGATGGTGCTGAGGGGGTGCTGAGGTGGTGCTGAGCAGATACTGAGATGGTGCTGAGGGGGTCCTGAGGTGGTGCTGAGGTGGTGCTGAGCAGATACTGAGGGGGTCATGAGATGGTGCTGAGGGGGTCATGAGATGGTGCTGAGGGGGTGCTGAGGTGGTGCTGAGATGGTGCTGAGGTGGTGCTGAGATGGTGTTGAGGGGGTCCTGAGTGGTGCTGAGCAGATACTGAGATGGCGCTGAGATGGTGTTGAGGTGGTGCTGAGGGGGTGCTGAGATGGTGCTGAGGGGGTGCTGAGATGGCGCTGAGATGGTGCTGAGGGGGTCCTGAGATGGTGCTGAGGTGGTGCTGAGATGGTGCTGAGGTGGTGCTGAGGTGGTGCTGAGATGGTGCTGAGGGGGTCATGAGATGGTGCTGAGATGGTGCTGAGTGGTGCTGAGTGGTGCTGAGGGGGTGCTGAGTGGTGCTGAGCAGATACTGAGATGGCGCTGAGATGGTGCTGAGAGGGTCCTGTGGTGGTGCTGAGGGGGTCTTGAGATGGTGCTGAGATGGTGCTGAGGGGGTCATGAGATGGTGCTGAGATGGTGCTGAGTGGTGCTGAGCAGATACTGAGATGGCGCTGAGATGGTGCTGAGATGGTGCTGAGGGGGTCCTGAGATGGTGCTGAGGTGGTGCTGACATGGCGCTGAGGGGGTCCTGAGTGGTGCTGAGCAGATACTGAGATGGCGCTGAGATGGTGTTGAGGTGGTGCTGAGGGGGTGCTGAGATGGTGCTGAGGTGGTGCTGAGATGGTGTTGAGGTGGTGCTGAGGTGGTGCTGAGAAGATACTGAGATGGTGCTGAGCAGATACTGAGATGGTGCTGAGTGGTGCTGAGGTGGTGCTGAGGGGGTGCTGAGTGGTGCTGAGCAGATACTGAGATGGCGCTGAGATGGTGCTGAGATGGTGCTGTAGGGGGTCCTGAGATGGTGCTGAGGTGGTGCTGAGATGGTGCTGAGTGGTGCTGAGCAGATACTGAGATCGTGCTGAGTGGTGCTGAGGGGGTCCTGAGATGGCGCTGAGGGGGTCCTGAGATGGTGCTGAGATGGCGCTGAGATGGTGCTGAGGGGGTCCTGAGATGGTGCTGAGGTGGTGCTGAGGTGGTGCTGAGCAGATACTGAGATGGTGCTGAGCAGATGCTGAGATGGTGCTGAGTGGTGCTGAGCAGATACTGAGTGGGTCCCGAGGGGCGGCCGCTCTCCCCCGAGCCGCGCTGCCGCCATCCCCATGGACGCTGCGGGCCGTGCCCCTCCGCAGCGTGTGCGGGGCGCGTGGCCGGGCAGAATTGGGGATGGGAGCGGGCGGCAGGGCTGGGCGAGGCGGTGTCCCGGGGGGGCTCAGTGTGTACCGGAGCTGGGTGTCTACCGGTGTGTGTACCGGTGTGTACCGGTGTGTACTGGAGCTCCATGAGTAACGGGGCTCCGTGTGTACCGGGGCTCGGTGCGCACCGCGGCCGCCGCAGGCCGGAGCGGGCCGGGCCGGGCCGTGAGGGGCGGGGGCATCGCGGCAGCGCCCCCTGCCGGCCGGGGCGGCGCGCGCGCCCCCGCTGCCCGCAGACAATGGGGCGGCGGCGGCGGCGGGGGCGCGCGCGTGGGCGGGGCGAGCGCTCCCCGCGAGAGGCGGGGGGCCCGGGGTGGGGGGGGCTCGGCGGCGCTCCGCGCACGCGCGCGCGCGCTCCCGCCCCGCCGGCGCGGCGAAGGTTCCGGAGCCCGCGCGCGCCCCCGCCCCGCCCGCGCCGCCGCCGCCGCCGCTGTCACCGTCACCGCCACCGCTGTCAGCAGCCGGCTCCGGTGCCGACACCCCCGCAGCAGCGGCAGGTACGGGGAGGGGAGGCTGCCGTGGGATGGAGCGGGGCGCTGAACCCCCGGGCGCGCTCTCCCTCCGCCGCGTCCCGCGCGGAGAACGGGGAGGGGAGAGAGAAAAAAACCCAAAAAAATCAATCAAGCCCCGAGAAGCAAAATCCGTCCATTTCATCCCAAAAGCGAGGGGAGGGGCGTGTCCCGGTGCCGGCGCCCCGGGGCTGCGGCAGCGCGAGGCGCGGCCCCTGCGGCAGCGCGGGCGGCCGGGGCAGGTGCGGCGGCGAGGGATGGAGATGGACGGATGGATGGATGGAGGGATGGATGGAGGGATGGAGCGATGGAGAAGGGCGGGTTTGGGGCTTCCCCCCCGCTTTGCGCCCGTTTCGGCCCCGTTCCTCCCGGCAGGTGGGGCCGGGGCTGCGGCAGGAGGGGCGGCAGCGCGGGGCCATGTTCTGCAGCCGCCTCGAGGGGGGAGGCAGCGGTGATTAAAAACGGCAAATTAATCAATAATGGGAAACCGTAAAGAAAAAGCGTTTCGAATTTAAAAAAAAAGGGGAAAAAGGAGCTGCACACGCCCAGCCCTAAATTTTGCGTGGGGGGAAGCGTTATTGAGGTCACGGCACCCCGGCGCTGCCCGGCTTTGTTGCACCCCCCGGTGCCCGTGTCGAGGGGTTCGGTGTTTAACGTGAGCGAGGTGGGTCCCATCCTGTTGAATCCCGGGTGTTTTCCAGCCCCAAGATGGGGATGGGGATGCCCATCCTCGTGGGTTTGGGGCTGGGTTGGGGCTCCTTGCTGGTCCCTGGATGTGCCGGGCACATCCCAAGCATCCCAGTGCCATGCTGGGATTGCCCTTGTCATGCTGGAATTGCCCCCTTGTCCCTTCCATCTGCCTCTTCCCATGCTGTCTCTTCTTTCTCATCCCCAAATCCCACCAGGTGGGGCGTGGAGCTGCCCCCCCTTTCTGGGTTTCGCCTTTTTTACCTGTGCTTGTTGGGTATTTCTTTATTTTAAATATAACTTAGCTGGGAAAAGGGAAGTTTCCTGGCCAGGTGTTTCCAGGAGCACACACCTGCCCTCCTGCCTTGGAGCAATTCACCCTGCAAGGAGCAGAAACAGCTCGTTCCAGGTGAGGGATGGAGATGTCTGCCTGCATCCCCGACTGCCACCGAGCACGAGGGAAGGTTGGCTTAGGGAAGACGATTTTTCCTGGTGTTTTTGGACACCTAGAAACGCAATCCTGCAGGGCAGCTGCCATCACTTCAGAGGGAGTTTCTCCTTCCATTTGCTGCGGTACCACGCCGCGAGGTGCAGCTCCATTTGCTGCTCGTGCTGGAAGGAGCAGCTGAGATGAGCTAAGCTGTCACCATTTGTATGCAGAGTATTCCCGAGCTTCCCCCCGGCGTGGATGTGGGCAGATGTTGGGTGCGTGTGTGAATCAGTGGAACAGAATTTGCTGCTGAGGATCGTTAATGTGCCTTGTCCAGCAATGGCTGCCTGCTTCCATCCGTGGAAGGGGTTTTGGCTCTGCTGCCAGCACCTCACATGTGGGGTGTTTGATGGCTTTCAGTTTTCTTGGCATTATTTTTCTCAGGGTGGTCAATCAGAACAGGTCTCAGTTGGGCGTTTGCAGGCTGCTCTTGAGGGGAGAAGAATTAAAACCTCGTTCTCTCTAGGAGTAAAAAATTGCTAACCCAGTTATGCTTTGTTCGCTCTTAATACCCAAAATGCTTGGTTTTCACCCCAAGATGAGCAGCTTAAGGAGAAAAGCAAAGTGTTGGCTGATTTACCTGTGATTTGTAGAGGATTTGAACATAGAATTATGGAATGGTTTGGGTTGAAAGGAGCCTTACAGACCGTGTTGTTCCACCCCCCTGGCATGGGCAGGGACATCTTCCATTAGACCACATTGCTCCAGCCTGCACCCCAAGCTTCCAGGGATGGGCATCCGCTGGCAGATGGTTCACACCTGATTAAAGTATTGCATTTTCTCATTCTTTGAGGTGGGGTTCATTTTTTGAGACTCGGGGAACGCGATGCCCATCCCACAGATGGTGTCACAGATCGGAGAGGGATGTTTATCCTGCAGGGATTAACTGGGGATAGCGGTGGTGGGAGCTCTGTGTGCAGCTCCCTGAGGAGAGGATGGGCCCAGCCGCTGCAGGTGCAAGTGCAGGTTTGGTGTCTCTCCCTCTGTCTAGCACTGTGTGAAGTATTTACAGCTCTGCCTTCCAATTTGGGCTTGCTCACCCTTCCCACCCCCCTGTATCCCTTGCTGCCCTCAGCCTCTGCCTCCCCAAGGTGTTCCATCCAAACTGTCCCATCCCCTCTGTGCTTGAAGAACTGCACCTTCAGGAGGACCAAGCAAATGTATTTATTTCACCTATTTTATATATGAAAAGGGAATGCTGTAGCTTTGTCATTTCCTTCCCCAAAAACCGTGGTAAATTCTGCTCCCCCGGGCAGTCCTCACAGGATAAAAAAAGAGGAGAATGTGACACTGTAGCTGCCCTTTCTCGGTGAGGAAGAGCTGGGTGTAGCCAGTCTCGTGGCACGCTGCTGAGGTGGGTGTTTCATCTTCTGCCTTTTGTGCTCCTCTGCTGCATTTCTGAGAGCCGTGTTCCTCGTGGAGTGCTCGTTGATCTGTGCAGCACCACGAGCTTTTTTCCAGCGTTTTCCAGGCGTGCGGTTTGGGTACCACTTTGCTGGGCAGTGCTGAGGGTGCAGCAGCAGGGATGGAGGGAATTTTTGTCGCCTTTGTGTCCCCACGTGCAGTTTGGGCTCCTCAGCATTGCGGGGCTGATGGAACGGCCACGTTGGGAATGTTTTGGAGCTGGTGTCGGTGCTGAAGCTCCTGAAATGCTGCCTCCATCAGCACGGGAGTGACAAATTGTCCTGACACATCCTGCAGCACAGCCGTGGCTGGTGGGCCTGTCCTGGTGCCGGCTGTGCCCACCCCAGACCTCCACACAAATCCCTCTGGGTTGGCAGAGCGTGGAAAATTGGATCACGAGCCACTGGCTAAGGGGAAATGCTCAGGGTGGCCGGTCCCTTTCTTCCCAAAAGCAAGATTATTCAAAAGCTGGAAGATTTGAGTTTGTCTTGAGCAGAATAATCTTATTTTGTCAGCGCAGCGTGCTGATGAGGCTTGGCTGTGGTGCTGCTGTCCTTTGGGGCAGTGCTGCTAATTTAGCTGTAGGAATGCTCTGACACTTGATGAATGAGTCAGGGAGGAGCCAGGGCAATGGTTTCCACCTGGCTCCCAGTATTTTCCAGTTTGTATTTTCCAGTTTGCTCAGCTTGCTGGCTGGTGAGCTCAGTTGGCTTGTAGGCTGGCTGGTTGACTCCTAGGCTCTGTGCTAAGGTGTGGGGCTGGACTGAGAGGTGGGAGCTTGCAGTGCAGTGCCTTGGGCTTGTGGCATCCCTCTGGGAGGATGTTGGGGCTGCTGGAATGCGGCAGCAGGGTTTGAAAGGAATTTAGGGGGGTTGTGGTTCTGCACGCAGGTAAAGCAGCCAGCCCTGAGCAAAATGGGCATGGCTGATTCTTTCTGGCTCCTTCTGAGGTCTGCAAACCCACGAGTCTGTAGAAAAGCCCTTTCTTGGAGCAGAAGGGGCCTCTCTGGCTGCGTTGGAGTAGCTGAGGGGATTGTTCCCCTCTGTACCTGTCCTGCAGCACGGGGAGCCCCAGCTCAGCATCCTGGCTGTTCCCAGCCTCAGCTGCGAGGAGCAGCAGCTCTCTGAGGGCCTCTCCCTCCTGCTGCAGTGGCTGGGCTGGCTTTCTGGGTTTTTCTGCCAATGCAGTGTAATCTCTTCCTACCTCAGGGGCTCTGCTGGCTGGGCTGTGCTGCTCAGGCTCCAGAGCTGGCTGGGTGGTGCCTGGGGCTCACCCCAAGGGCACATCCCGGGGCTGGGGGGTGCTCATCGGTAAATTGGGCAGTGCTGGGTGCTGCAGGGCTCTGCCTGCCCCTGGAGATGGAAAAGGAAGCGATTGCAGGAGTGGCTTGGGCTGCTGGTCCTGCAGAGCAGCACAGAGATGTCCCCACTGCCCTGGCAGCAGGATTAGGGTGAGGGTCTGGGGCAGAGCGGGGTGGGCTTGGAGAAACCTCCCTGAGCACCAGGCTGGCTCAGCCTTGCCAGAGGTGCAGCCCCCACCCTGGATCACTCCATGGAGATGTGGAGCTCCTGCTCTGTGCAGGGCTGTTCCCTCCTGGCTGCTCAGCACGAACAGCCCTCAGTCCCAAGCTGTCTTTGCAGCTCACCCTAGGATGTGCTGGATGCAGCAGAATTGTGGCCCTTTAGGAAAGCCCTTGTGAGGTTTGTAAGGTGGGTGAGCTCTGCTGTGAGGGACTGAGTGAATCCGAGTCTCTCTCTTGGATCTCCCTCCTCCATCTGTGAGCTGGAGCTTTGTTTTACACCGAAATCTGCTGGTTGTAGGCTGGGGTTTTTTTTTAAGTGCCTGTGGAAAGCATGTGTGGTTTACACTGGAGTCTGGAGGAGAAGTATCGGTGCCTTTAGACTTGAGTGGGTTTTCTTTGCAAGTCTAATGAGCTTCTTTGCTCCTCAGAAATCAATCCACTGGTTTTCCCCTTTTCTTTCCTAGCAGACCAATTAGTAAAGGTGGTCATAACACACGGCCTGGCTCCTGTTTTCAGCGTCTCTTCTTTAAATACCCAGGGAAAGGGAGCACCAGGGGATACCTTCTGTGCAGCTAAAAGGATTATTGCTGCACTTGGGCTAATTATTTCCATCTTTGCGGCCTCTCCGCTCTACCTGCCCTGACCTCTTTGCCTTCCCTCCGTGCTGTGCTGCAGAGCAGTGGGGTTTTCTCACTTTGGGCAGGGGTTTGTCCCCAAGAAGAGCTCAGGTGTGTTTGGGCAATGCCCCCAGGCACAGGGTGGGACTGTGGCGATGTCCTGTGCAGGGTCGATGATCGCTTTGGTCCCTTTCAGACGGGGATATTCCATCATTCTGCGATCCCCAGCTCCGGGTGATGCTCCAGGCAAGGACGGAAGTTGATGTGG